TCAGTATCACCACCTTGTTCATAGATAGATACATCAGTATCACCACCTTGTTCATAGAAGGATACATCAGTATCACCCCCTTGTTTGTTATAGGATACTTCAGTATCACCCCACCCCTTTTGAAAGTGTATGAAAAAAGGTTTTTACCTTAGTTTTATAAGTATATTATTTTATGTCTTTATGAGGTTCACCAATTACTACTTTTGACTCATATACCTTTTGGTAATAATAGGTTGAAGAAATGCTAGCTTGAGATTATTGTTCTAAATATATATGTCTTAGTTTATTATCTATTCTGATAAGTGGCTTTACTTGTACTCAGATCTCGAAATTTGGATTTGCTTTTGATGTTATTTTACAGTTATTTCTGTAGTCCTTAGTGCTAGATTGTATGTTGAGACGTCAACTTTCAGTCACCTTAAAAAATTGGCATATCTAACTTTCTGCATTTGATATCATTGTAGGCCACTCTTTGACTATTTGGAACAGTCTCCTTCTCACCTATATAGTCCTTTTAAGTATGTTTTCTGTTGGTGCCACAACCTCATCTCCCCAAGACGTCATCCAAAGACTCAACTATGGAGTAGTGTTTCGCCCAGATTCAAAGATGTACTTAGCCAAGGAAGCATGGCTACACACATTCCAAATAGATATACCAAGACCCAGAGAAATTCACATTTCTAAATTGCCAATTTGTTCATACAAGAACTTCTCCAGTATATGTTCATCAATGAACAGTATGAGACATTTTATCCAGCATTTACACGACTCAATGGAACATGACTTGAAAGAAACAATACAAGCGATTAGGATATTAGTTCCTCAGACTAAATTATTTGAGTCAAATAGAAATGGTCGTGCCATTCTCCCTTTTATTGGCTCAATGGCCAAAGGTTTATTTGGATTGGCAACAATGAGTGATGTTCAGTTGTTGGCCAATCACATAAATGCTTTAAACGCAAAATCTAGAAGTATCACTCAAGCTCTCCAGCAACATAGTGATCACCTTTCATCTTTTGTGAAAGTGATCGATAAAAGAACATCTAATTTAATGCAGGGTATTAAAGACAATTCATTAGAAATTCAGACAATTGCCCATTCATTTCAACTAGCAATAGTTTCGTCGGAACAATCCATGGTGAATATTTCACAGATTCTTATCACCCTAACCAACAATTTTAATGTCTTGAAATCTAACTTACTTCAGTTACAGAATGCTTTTCAATCCTTGGTAGAAGGTCGAATTTCACCTTTCCTCATTCCAAAGCATGATTTTTCTCGCACACTTCACCAAATTCAGAGCACATTAAACAAGAAGTACCCTGGTTTCTATTTAACACATTCTCATCCTTCATACTATTACACTACATCCAACTTTATATTTACCCGTAATTTCTCATCTCTTTTCATCACGGTGCAATTTCCAGTATCCTCGCATGCACAACCTCTTCAACTCTATAAAATCATATCTTTACCTGTACCAACCCCTACTAATAAGACTACTAAGCATGCTACTAAATTGTTAGATTTACCACAATACCTTGCACTAACCTATCAGCATGATTATTACCTCCCCTTATCTACTGATGACCTAACAAATTGTGTGCATGGACCTATGGTTTTCTGTACTTTTAATAAGGCACTCATTCCTATAACTGTTCCTGATTGTTCCCTTGCATTGTTCCAAAATAATGTCAAACAGGTATCAAGACTTTGCAATTTTAGGTTTCTAGAAAATCACCTTTCTCATGATATTATTGAGTTAACACCAACTTCGGTGCTTGTCTACGACAGTGAAGAATTGGACTTGATTTGTCCTCAAAGCCAAAGAAAGATACCTGGGTGCACATTCTGTGTTATCAACATACCCTGCAAATGTTCATTGTCAACTAGGAAACTATATTTTTCTCCTAGATTAGTTGATTGTTATGAGTCAAGTTCAAATTTTTCTATTTTACATCCAGTTAATTTAGCTCTTGTACAGGAATTTTTCGATGAAAAGCGATTTACCTCACTTTTAGCAGATTCCCTTTTTACTACTCCTGTACAATTAGCAATCCCAGATTTTTCTTTTTATAACCATAGTATGTCAAAGATTTTAGCAGCAGACACAAAGACCCATTTAAGTTTAAAGAAAATAGCTGTTGCTGCTAAAAAGGATAAAATGATTTTTAAAACTTTAACTGAACCCCTGTTGTCTGGAGATATAAGCTTGCAGTCTTCTTGGCTGGATACAAATACTATTGTTAGTTTTTGTTCACTTGGTATTGCTATTCTTTCACTTTTCGCTTTTGCATTTTTATTTTGTAAAACAAGAAAGATAGCAATGACCATGACAATTATGCAACAGATGTCGCACACCAAGTCTCAGAGTGTACCTTCTTTTATTTATGTTAAACCCACTCAGCTTCCTGAAATGGAGCAAGATGATATTATGGATAGAGTTAAGTCATTTTTCTCATCAGAATTTTCATGGGTACACGCTTCTGTTATTTTGAGTATTTTAGTTTTAATCTTTTTGTTATTTGTAATATGTTATTTGTACAAATCAAAGCACAATCGGTGTACCTCATTAGTTTTGGAAGTAACCTGTGGTGGCGACTGTGTTGTCATCCCAATATTAGATTTATCCTTGTGCCCATCTTACTACGGATTTTCAAGACCATCGGTCTTAGATTTGACTGTTGCCTCATTCCCCTCATGTAAAATGTTCGCAGTGTGGTCATCATTTGAAGTTACAAACAAGCTAACTCAAAAGTTTGTCAAGATTCCGACCACACTTACCCTTAGTTTTCTTCAGTCTTATAGAATTAGGAAAGTTTTGGCACAGCCATTTAATGCCTATATTTATGTGACACATCAAGGTTTCGCTACTATGTTGAGTCAGCCAGCAAATGTTTCTAAGCAAACAGTTCAAGCATTAGCAGCAGATTCAGATTCACTATACCCTAGTCTTTTAGCATGAATTTTCAATTCATTTTCTAAGTTAGTGAACAACTAATTTTCAAAAAGGTTTATTATTGTACCTTGTTTGTCACAACTCAATGATTCTTAATGTGTATATATATATATATGTAAATATGACCCTTGATTTTTGGTTATTAGACATGACTTTATCTAAACTCCCCCTTTTATGGCAGATATTATGACCTTGATAAGCATGACTTGCATTCAAATTTTGTTTTAATATATTACTGGTATTATATTTTTTTTGTTTATATATATGTATATAGAACTATTGGCATCATTGGCAACAGCAACCTGAAAAGTAGGCACCATCAACAAATACTGTTGTGAATAAAAGCATTATTCTTGGATACATATCAGTACACATGGACACTCCGTATCAACCGTTGGATAGGACCTATTCAAACTACACATGGATACTCCGTATCAACTGTTGGATTGGACATATTCAAACTACACATGGACACTCCGTATCAACCGTTGGATTGGACCTATTCCCGAACTACACATGAACATTCATAAAATGGAATTCATATCATTACCACACTTTATGTTTCTACAAACCGAACCGTTGGACATCCGAAAAATAACCATGGACATGATGACCGTCAATCCTTGTTCCAGCAGATGTGTGTTTCTCAAATGAACAATCATAGACTTTATTTTTTTCTATTGATGACATTTAATAAAAAAAAAAAACTGTTTAATTATATAACATTTTGAAGCTTTGGGGTCCAAAGCAGTTGGACCAGGGAGGAGTTGTCACAGTGTAATTTTGCTTAAAAATTCTTATTTGAATTTTTATTAAGAAAAGCCTTATTTTGATATTTGAATTTTTATATTGCAATAATTTTACTTTTAATGAAAAACATTTTGAAGTTTTGTTAAAAATGGACACTTTATTTATTCTTTGTTATATTTAGAATTCTTAACTTTATTTATTCTTTGTCACATTTAGAAATTCTTAAGGACATAAGAAACAGGTGTTCAATTAAGTATTAAATTTTCTCTTTGTCAAAACTTAAGGTGACAGATTTTATTACATAAGATCCTCTTACACTCTTTTGTTCAAAAAGATGTAAATTCTTTGTTAATCAGAATGTCTACATTAGTTTCAATTAAGCTCTTACGTAAAGCTTCTCCGAGCGATATAGGGGATAATCCTAACACGTGGTAACTTTAAATTTTGTGTTACCATGGATTAATAAGTAGAAACAAATTCTGATTGGTTAAACCTGAAAAAATTGTCCAAATCTGTGAATTGTCTTTATTCACTAAATAGCGTCACTTTTCAAATTGAACGCAGTGAATAAAGACTATTCTCAGAAATCAGATTTGACTATTTTCAGGTAAGTGAAAACTAAGTTTTATTTTTATTTTAAAAATCTATTTCTTTATAGATTCAAAGTATTTATTTCATTTTTACAATGTATATTTAAAAGTTCTAAAAGCTCATGTTAATGCATATGAGTTAAGCCAAGTTATCATTTTATAGAGAAATTATCATTTTCAATAGTTAGAGAAAGACGCCAAACCAGTTGGTAAATTTTAAATATGTATATATCTTTTTCAAGTTAATATTTTGAAAGTTTTTATCTATTTCAAACATATTAAGTATTTTTGTAAATGAACACTAGTTGCCAAAACTAGACTAAAATGAACACGCTTCATCAGAAGTAATTTTTATATGGGAGACAACTCCAGTTTTTACCGCGACAATTCATGAGCAAGTAATATGTATCAATTTACAGTCTACCCATTATTTGTGAACAATGGTAGGTGTAAGAACATTATTATTCAAAGCTTTTTGCATTAGTTCTCATGGTCGTTAGGTAACAGAAAGCTCATAGAAGCTAGTAAACTGAGGTTCTCTATTTATCCCATAGCAAAGCCCAGTGTTTCTTGTTTTCTTATTTCATAAGATTCCCAGTGTGTTTATATAGTTTTCTTGTTCAAAGTAAATGCGTTTATTGAACTTCATTTATTGTGTTATATGCTAGATGTATAAAGTCCCCCATGTTCTTATTTTTTAGTATGTGAGCTAGTCCCAGTCCCAAGATTTAACTTTCACAGTTATCTCCCCCTTTATATGCAAATTTGTTTACAACTGTTTGCTTTTCTGTAAATAATAGCCTACAGCTATGTTACACCGTAAATACATGTTTTTAATAGTAAAAGTTTCTGAGAATAAGTTGAAATTATTATTAGAGAGATATTTGGTCGCTAAAATACTTTAAATGAGTAGTTTATAAGTTGTTTAAGTGTTTACTGCAAATCCCATGCATGTCAGGCTGCACAATTCAGAAACCAGTCAAACCCTTTAGTATTCACACCGTTCATGGTGTAATAGCGAGAACCTTCACAGTTCTTATCTATAGTATTAATAATCCATGATTATTATTGTATCTGTTTTATTGACTGCATTGTTATGATTTATACTTTATTATGTAATACTGTTATTAAGTGACTTTTCAAATTGAACGCAGTGAATAAAGACTATTCTCAGAAATCAGATTTGACTATTTTCAGGCCTGTCAGAAGACTCACGTCAACAAGATTATTATCTTGTCGCAGCACTGAAAATCATACAGTCGATACCACCCTGCATCTGCCTGTCACACTTGCTTCAAAAGCTCTACCACAAATCAAGAACAAACACACACAAAACTCAGATTGACACTATGACATCGTCAATATAAAAATAAGCAGATGTGGTATGATTGCCAATGAGACAACTATCCACCAAAGTTCAAATGAAGTGATTGTAATCAATTATAGGCAACCGTACGGACTTCAACAATGAGAAAAACCCATACGGTATAGTCGGCTATAAAAGGCCCCGACATGAAAAATATGAAACAATTCAGTTTAGAAAACTAACGGCCTAATTTATAACAAAACAATTTACGAAAAACAAATATGACATACATGAACCAACGATTACCGTTGAAATACAGGATCCTGACTTGGGGCAGGCACATAAAGAATATGGCGGGGGTAAACAGGTTTGTGGGCGTTCAACCTTCCCCCTAACCAGGGACAGTACTTTTTGAAGAGCTACAATGAATGCCCATTTCATAGGATTTTGTATATAGAAAAGCAATTTTAGTTCTTAAAGTACTTCACCAAATGACTCCGGAATATCTCAATGTATTTAGATATGTGCATCAGGTTAGTTCTAGAACATGTGCTTATTATTCCAAAAACTCAAAGTGAATACTATAATCTTCTATGTTGATTTATGGATCAAGTTTGTCTACAAATCTTTAATAATGTAACACAACTGAATCTTTAAAAAACATATATTGAAAAATATTTTGTTAAATAAGTTTAATTCTAATAACAGTAAAATAGTTTAATATTGTACTAGTATTATGTTTATGCCATATTTGTTGTTTTTATTTCGACTTCGGATATCGTAACTTTTAGGATAATCCTTAGACCATCCTAAGACACCTATGTATATATCCTAATTTTAGGACCAAATTTAGGGCATATCTTATTTAAGGAAACCTTCGCTAATCTAAATTAGGACTATGACGTGTCCTAAGACCATCTTAAGACACGTCCTAGTCCTGGGACAGCTTCGTTGACACGGCCCCTGGACTTTTATCAGAAGTATCAACTAATGATTTCATATTCAAAAATTCTTGAACGGGACATAATGGAGAATCTGGTATAGAGACTAGAGGTATCAATAATTCTCTCTCCCAAAACTGAATGGTTTTCGAACCACATGATACTAATTAATAACAGCTTAAGCTCAAAATCGAATAGGATATTATTTCTGCAAAGTTGCTTATTATGATCAAAAGGAGAAACAGAATCTGGAACCAGATTAGATTTTTTTGATTTAACAAAAAAGGCATGTTTAAATAAACACCATATAGTAGCATCATGCGAACTACATGTATTCATATCCAGCTTATTGTTAATTTCAAGCAAAATCTGAGGAGTAATCGACAGGGCTTGTTTTAGACAATGTGCCTTAATTCTACGTAAACCTCTTAATACTAATCTCAAATGAAAAGCTTCAATTTGTGGATATTCTAAATCTAACAGTAAATGCGAAATTTTGACTGAACTTACATAATTCTCGATAGATTCAACAGATTTAAAACTTCTTCTAATAAACTATGCATATGCTGTCAAAACATGAACTGTAGCAGAAGCAGGATTAAATTCAAAATATATACAAAACATAAAATATTTTTATTTTTATGAGTACTCTCCGCAAAACCATGTTTAACAGAATCTTTACATTGAAACCGCAGAGAACTTTTAACTCTTACAAAAATTTACAAATTATTTAAAAATGAAAAAATTACTCGAGAACTGGTACCACTTCATATCTATCTACTTCAATGGATGATTCAAATAAATCTCTGTATTTATGATTAAACCGTCATCGAGACAAATAGTCAGCAAGTCGACTTATCACCGGGTTTGTACTAACATGAGCAACACGACGGGTGCCACATATGGAGCAGGACCTGCTTACACTCAGTTTTTGGTGTGGTACGTGTTGCTCAGTCTTTGGTTTTCTATGTTGTGTTTTGTGTACTGTTGTTTGTTTGGTTTTTTTTATTCTTTTAAGCCATGGCGTTGTCAGTTTGTTTTCGACTTATGAGTTTGAATGTCCCTTTGGTATCCTTCGCCCCTCTTTTTCGTCACCTATAAATGTGTCTGGTTCGAATTTCAAACTGAAAACTTGCTTGTACAAAACAAAGCACTCTCAAACAAGTTTGCATAAAGGTATCATTAGATGAACCTGAATTAATAACACCTGAGCAGATGCCTCATTATCACAAAAGATCAGTTTTTGTTTTTCCCGTATTTTTTTTTACTCCAAATTTTAACTGCAACTACAGTAGCAAATAATTCCAAACAATTAATGCGCAATTGATCTTTTGTGATATCAGGAAGAAATACTGCATGAAAATACTGATTGGAATAAATATCTCCAAATCCTTTTAAACAAGCATCGCTTGAAAAAATCTCTTCTGGAGAAAACCAATCTTCAAGACACATCATGGAAATACCATTATAACTCGACAGAAACCTTTACGACCAAAGTAAGTCCTTCTGTACCTCTACTTGAATCCTTCTTAATATCTTGTGTCCCCTGCCTACGACATTTGAAGGGAATATAAAAATAAGGAGCTGAGGTATGATTGCCAATGAGAAAACTATCCACCAAAGTTCAAATAAAGTGGATGTAAGTAACTATAGGCAACCGTACGACCTTCAACAATGAGAAAAACTCATACCGTATAGTCGGCTATAAAAAGCCCCAACATGAAAAATATGAAACAGTTCACTACGAAGCCAGTCTAACAAACGACTAACAAATATTCTACCGGGTCGTACACAGGTGTACACAAAATGAAGTTTACCAAGTAATGACTGTAACTCTCTTAAACTTAAAAAAGAAGCCTTTTTCTTAATTAACCAAGCCTGTATTAATAAAGAAATCTCTTGAACACGATCTGAAGTTACTTCCAAAGTCAACTTCAATGTATCAACTGTGATAACTTAAAATTCCATCTAAGTAGTAGGCGCTACTCCGTTTTGCATGGACTTCGTAGTTTGTGGGTAATATTGAAACAAAAGATCTTCACAATATGTGCTGGTGAGATCAAAAGGAATAGAAAGACAGTGTGCCATTGAATATGTAATGGGATAGAAAGTGAGGTGATTCAAACATATTTAGTTACTCGCAGTATTCGAAACGATGATTAAAACTATTTTATTTCTATCCATCAGAAATGTTAGAATTTAGCACTTTCTTCAAAAGACTCAGTCGCCGTAACTACGTCACAGTAAACAAACATTTTGTTTTATTCATGTTGATGAACATGTTATTCATTTTGCACCACTCTTCAACTCTGTATAAATCTTCTTGAACTCATGTAAATTTTCAATGTTTTCCCTGATTTATGAAGAGTGGTGTCATCAGTATACAGGTCTGTTTCACAATTTTCATTGAATAAGGGAATGTCGTTTATAAATAACACAACTAATAGAGTAGTCCGAGATTACTCTGACGTCCAACGGCTGTTTTGCCAGACAAGCTGGGGCCGTGGGACGTCAGAGCTCGTCCCATATCAAAAAGTGGATATTTGCCCGTCCAAAATAGATGCGCTGCTTCGTCGCTTCTGGTGCCAACGGACGGCCTTGGAATTATATAAATCGGGTATCAATTTGTTCATTTTTCATTTATCTCTTCATTTATGTAAGTTTCACCTACCTGCCACCCTTTATTTTCTCATATTTAGACAGTTTTCACAGTGACCCATCGATTCAGACATTTTTACTTTTATTTTCAAATGGACGTCAAGTTACGAGAGATTTTGCGACCTCGAGACTCAAATATGCAAATATTTATACTTTTTTCACCTCCTTTATAGGAAATCGATATCTAACATTTAGTAGCCAACCACGATTTTTCACCTCCTTTACAGGAGATCGGTATTAAGCATTTAGTGCCAACCACGATAACATTCGGAAGCTCTCGGATATTTACATTGCTTGCATCGTAAATGAGCGAGGTGTTAGATTATATATTCATATTGACCTAGGGTCATATGCATATACCATTTCCCATAGTCCATTGTGCCTTACTTTTTTCTCGTGATCACATGACAATCTTTCAAAATGAAAGTCAAAATGCCAGAATCGGTGGGTCACTGTGAAAACTGTCTAAATATGAGAAAATAAAGGGTGGCAGGTAGGTGAAACTTACATAAATGAAGAGATAAATGAAAAATGAACAAATTGATACCCGATTTATATAATTCCAAGGCCGTCCGTTGGCACCAGAAGCGACGAAGCGGCGCATCTATTTTGGACGGGCAAATATCCACTTTTTGATATGGGACGAGCTCTGACGTCCCACGGCCCCAGCTTGTCTGGCAAAACAGCCGTTGGACGTCAGAATAATCTCGGACTACTAATAGAGGACCAAGTATAGAACCTTGGGTGACACCAAATTTTACATTTTGTTGTTCCGAATAAACATTACAAATGTTTACCTGCTGTCTTCTGTTATTCAGGTATGACTTGAAAAAACTAACAGTAGCATCACTAAATCCATAAATTTCAAGCTTTAAACAAAGGATGTCATGATTTACCAGATCAAAAGCTTTTTTAAAGTCTATTAAAATTGCTAGGTTTAAATTACCATCATCCATTTCTTGTAACCATTTGTCGATGATGTCAATAAGTGCAGTTTGACAAGAATGTTGTGGCCTGAAACCAGATTATGTAGGATGTAAAAGTTTAAGTTTGAATACGTTGAAGTATTTGTACATGTTATTAGAAACATGCCTTTCTATTAATTTTGATAAAGTTGGAAGAACAGATATAGGTCTGTAATTAGTTGCTAAAAGCATGTCACCATCCTTGTAGACTAGTGTCACCTTAACATTCTTCAGTAAAGAAGGATATATATACCAGTATCTATCATTCTGTTAAATATATATGTGAGAGGTGATGCAATAAAATGGGCAC